ACAGCCCCAAACTGTGTCTATGTCTTACAAATTCAGACACCTGATACAGCAATAAAGTCGAATCAAGTTCACCTCTCAAGACTTGGCTTTACAACTTTAGCACACTGAAGACTGCTATCGATGTGCACACATACATTTACATCGAAAATCATGCCATAAAGACTAAAACAATTCTGCAAGCATCCTAGCACACCCTTTGGTAATTAATACACCTGGAAAATTGTTACATACGTATGTCTCATTTCCTCAATTATAATATAAACGACCTAAGCTTGGGAAGGACATATTTTCCTTTTTGCAGTCTGTGTCTTCAGTGCCTTGATATCAAGGTGCTGAGAAAAGAGGCGTTAAAGTTGACGCAGTCTACTTACAAGAAAAGTGGGTGACTTTCTTCCACGCCTAAGACACAGCTAGAAAGTTACTGACATTAACAGAAAAGAGGACCACTTTTGAAATCTCTTGAGTGCTACGAGTTCACCACTTCGTGGGGAAATGTACTAGTCCTTGGGGTCCTTGGAACAATGTGCTCTCCCACATCCTCATTTGCATTCTGTATTACTTAATGGTACACTTTTAAACACCTTTAGTTCCTAGTGTGGTATAGTAGCTCCACATCGGGCCGCTAACTGCAGGGGCAGCCATTTGCAACCACCTCCTCAAAAGAAAAACGTTCTACTCCCATAAGGAGTGACCGTCTTGAAACCCATAGGGGCACTTGGGTCCTGTCCTGTAGAGCTGCTATTCAGTGGAATGGAACTGACGGCAGTGGGTTCTTTGTCCCTCCCTTTCTTGGTTTTGGAATAGGGATATACTGCTGGCTTTAAAGCCAAAGTAACCACGTGCCTTTTGGTGCATCCTGACTTATGGTGACCCCACGTGCATCAGAGTAGAACTGTGCTCCATGGGGCTTTCCCAAGTAGAGGGTCACACCTTCTTCCACAGCAGCTCTGGGTGGATTTGATCTGCTAACTTTTGGATTAGCAATTAAGCACATTAACAATTAGCACCACCGAGGAATTCAAACAATAGTCTATACCTCTGATAAATATCCTAACCAGGACATTTAGCAAGAGCTAGATAAGAAGTAATTATATTAAAAAAGCATAAAAAAGTATAAATTCCTTCAATATGTTGGGTCAGTTGATAAAAGTCTTCAATAGGAAAGGTAAATTTGTCAAGTTGATTGTATCAGCAATGGGATCAAGAGGAAATTAGCATAAACTATATTAGCTAACATTTAGTTTTTCAGGATTCCTGTGTGATCATAACCTTGTTTTAAGATGGACAAGAAAGTACTTTCTCACATTAATCTGTTAAATAGCGTGAGCTGACTAGATTATCTAGCTCAGTGGATCTCAACTTTCCTCATGCCATGACCCTTTAATACAATTCCTCACGCTGTGGTGACCCCCAGCCATAAAATTTCTTTCGTTGCTACTTCATCACTGTATGAATTGTTATGAATTGGGTGACCACTGTGAAAGGGTCGTTTGAACCCCAAAGGGGTCACGACCCACAGGTTGAGAACCACTATAAATTCTAGCCAGAGTTTCTAGCCAAAAGTTTCTTCTATTCCATATCCAATCCTCCTGCCCATGGGGAGGACATCCAGGATGTTGTCTTCTATAATCATGAAAGATATGAAAATACACCCAACATCTCATATTTCATGGAATTTGGCAACTCTACATCAGAAATGGTAGGGAAACAATCTGGCTAAGTTTTTACAGTAGGGATGATAAACTTAATTCAAAGTAAAATGGAGGTGATAATCTTCCTGAGGAATGAAGAAACTGCTGAGTTAAATTCAATTAAGTCTGATTAGTTAATTATAAAGATATAAACAAAAAATAGTTGAATGGTAAGACACAAAAAAGTAACCATGAAAAAGGTATGTTAAAATGGACAAAGTAATAGTTTCCTGGGCAAGAAAGGATGAAGTCTTATAAGAAGGAGATTAGAAAAGAATGTTTAAGGTATGTGATTTTTCTCCTAATGACAATAAAATATACAGTTATTACGCATACACTAGATAAAAATAATATATTGCTTAATATATAGAATACAAGGTACTAAAAAGGAGAATTTTGTTAAATTGACCTAAGAGTAAACACAACATATGATCCAGGTTCAAATATATTTACATATTCCCAGGGAAAACATACATTTCTTTATTTCTTTTCTGATAGTGATCAAGCCCTAGAGTTAAAATATAGCCTAAAGTAGATTAATAAGCATAGATGGAACATGGGCGCCACGTCCTATGTGGCAACGCAGCAGAAGCACTTCAAACCAAAACACCCACCTCTCTGCCACTGAGTCAATTCCGACTGAGAGCAACCCTATTGGACAGAGTGAAACTGCTCTCGTGCATTTCCAAGGAGACTATAACTCTTTTAAAATTGTTCCAATTTTTTTTAATAGTGATTTCATTGGGGGCTTTTACAACTTTTGTTATAATCCATACATCAATTGTATCTGACATATTCGTACACATATTCCATCATTCTTCTCTAGACATTTACTTTCCATTGAGCCATTGGGATCAGCTCCTCTTTTTTCCCCCTCACTCCTCCCTGCCCACCACCCCTGAGACTATAACTCTTTACTGGAGTAGAAAGTCCTGTCTTTCTCCTACTGAGCAGCTGGTGGTTTTGAACAGCTGACTTTGCAGTTAGCATCCCAATGCCAAATGAAAACACTAGGTCTCCTAGAGGCACACAAATATTAGTCTAAAAAGAGGTCAAATGTTTGTAAATAGGCACAAAAGGAAACTTCTATAGCATCCACTGAAACCTTTGTTAATTCAGAGAGGTTTTTGTTCTTAGTGAATATTTGACATTTTGATATAAGGCCATTCTTATAACATGTACTTTCTATCTTATAATATGCAGTCTCTATCTAATCTAGCATCTCTATGTTTTCTGTTTCATAAACAAAACATTCCATTTACCAACTAAAGGTTACATTTCGATAGGCTCACTTAATGGTAGGCCATCAAAAAAAGGACGAGAATCTCTAGAAAAAGACATCATGTTTCATAAAGTGAAGAGTCATCGAAAATGAGGGAAACTTTCCATGAGATGACTTGCCACCGTGACTGCGCCAGTAGGTTTATACATACCCACAAGTTAAGGATGGCACCGGGCCCAGTAACATTTCCTTCATAACCTTGTCATGAGTCAGCGCCTACACAACACCAACTAACAAATGTAGCAATGGTATGTCACTTTTAAATATAGATACACCGAGTCAGAAAGAAGCTTTGGTGATGCAGTGATAAAAAGGCTTGACTGCTAATTGAAAGTTGAGTGGTTTGAACCCACCAGCCGCACCTTGGGAGAGAGATTTTGAGCAATGTGTTTCTGAAAAAGATTTTGACCTGAGAACCCCTACAGGGAAATTATATTCTATCCTATAAGTTTGCAATGAGTCAGTTGACTCAAAGGTAGTGGGTTATATCTGTTTAGAAGCAATTAAGTAGGTAAAGAATTAAAACAATTCCTCGTTGTGAGAATTCCACTTTGAATTTAGATTTTCATCACGTTGAGTGAGTTAATAAGTTTCTCACATTGTGTAAGAACAATGTTCTCAGGAAAAATAAACTCATTATCTACCTCACACATCAAAAAAGATTTTTCACTTTCACTCAGCATTCCAGGTACTTCCAAAGTAACCTTGGTTCAAAAATGAATTATGCCACATACTGAAAAATGTTTTTTAATCTAGATTTTAAGAAAGCAAACTGAATAATGCATATTGCATAGAGTATTTATCCAATAAAACATAAACTGTTGTAGAATTTTTTAATTTAATGGCTAAAATTACTATTTGTCTTCTGATTTTACATATAAGTTTTTCGACATGAATAGACTTGACTTCAGGACTGTGGGAGCCCTGGTAACATAACAGTTATTCATGGGGCTGCTAACTACAAGGTCAGCAGTTCAAAAACACCCTACTTCCATAACAAGTTACTATCTTGGAAACCCACAGGGGCAGTTCTACCTTGCCCTATACAGTCTCTATAAATTGGAATGGATTAAAGGGGTGAGTTTGGCTTTGGCACACTTGTAAAGTATCTTGGTCCATGTTCCTGTCCTCTGAACAAATGTGCCTCAGAAGAAGTGCAGCCAAATGTTCCTTATAAATGAGATGGGAAGACTCTGGCTCCCGCATTTTGGACATGCTACCAGGAGACACGAGGAAAATTAGAGAGGCAGCAAAAAAGAGGAAGTTCATCTCCCCTCTGTGACACAGTGGGTACAACAACGTGCTCAAAAATACCAGTTGTGCAAATGCTGTCAGACCTTTTTACATGCATAGAGGACATATGAGCTGGAATTGACTGAAAGGTACTAATAATAATGTAGCCATTTATCATTTTTAATTGATTAATAATAATCTTATTAGGAAAGTATATGATAAACCTTAACTTCTTAGGAAAGTATATGATAAACCTTAACTTCTGGCACACCAGGATTTATTTTTAAATCCAATGATTAATCTTAGTAAAATAAAAAAGTCATAAAAACAAATAAAATCTATAAAAGCTCTCATTTTAATAATCTTGCTAACTAACTCAAAAAACATTATATTACATAATCCTTTAATAAATCAACCATTAAATGTTGTGTATTTTTAAAGGGTAATTGAATTGCAATGAGTTGTTAACTTCCAAAACTATGGCATGAAACAAAATGTTTAAGGTTTTGAATGTTTGTTTACGGAAGAACATGTATTTAACAGCGTGCTTCCGTTAATCCATTTTTCAATGACACTTAGATCTTGATACTACTAACCCAAACATTTATCCAGCTATGTGGTTTTCTTTTTCACGGATCCACTGATGGGAGTTGAAAAATAATTCCTTTAACGAGGAAATGGCAGAATATCTACAGTGAAGCAATCCATAAAGAAAACGTTCCAGATTTGCAAGAGTTCTGTAAGGAACACAAGTTAAATGCACCTTGAAAATGAGGGCGTGAGCATAAACGTACCTTGTCCTTGGGATGCTCCGTAGAATTCAGCGGCTATCCGGGCCGCTTCCTTGCGGTTGCCTTTCACGATGTAGAAATGGCTAAGGATGGCCAGGCTGATTTTCACGAAAAGTTTGAAGCAGAAAAGTGAGAGTATTGTAAAGTAGACATTGGATAACTGTTGAGCAAATGGCCGACTGTCTTCTAACAGCGACATTGCTGCGAAGGAATCCGTGACTGTCTTTAGTGAGATCCCAGTCTCAAGTGTGCCTGGCGCTCGTCCGGGATGCTCTTGAACAGCTGGTCCTGACAGCTGGTAATGCTGCCCACAGCTCAACTGTTTATACGGCCCTTCAAAGTTCTCGGCAGGCTCCTATTGGTCTGAGCTGATGCCACGTATCACGTGGCCCATTCACAAGACTCCTGACTTTCCATTCTCAGGATGAAATGACACCCACCTCTTTGCTCTGGATTTCAAAATCCAGATACTAAAATTTGTATACAAAGTGTTTCCCTTTTTTGGAGATTTAAGGATCAATTTGAAAACTGTGCACGTGGCCCCAGTTTTGAATGCAAATGATATTCCTAATACCAAGGTAAAATAAAATCGGTTCCTGACTTTAAAATGGTATGATTTGTGGACCATGAACTAGATCACCTAATAGTCGATGTGTTTGATGGTCTTAATGCCTATTCATGAAATTATCCCATAATGTTGCTTTTACTGTTGTCAAAAAAAAAAATCATTTGTCATCATGTGGTTCGATCTGAGTTGGAATCAACTCGGTGGCAGTGAGTGAGACACATGGTTAAACTGGAAACTCATAGCATAACAATATCTCAGGCCTGATTCACTCACCAGGTGAGCAATTTTTAAGCACTATGTCCCAACAATTTTTCTAAATGTTGGGGATAGCAAGATGAATTTAACAGTCCCTGTCACTGGGATTTCACCCTCTAGAGGAGGATATGAATAAGAAATAGGGTAGCCCGAATACAGGTAAGGACAGGGCAGCACCAGACCAGAAAGAGGCAGAGCTTAATCCTGGCAGGCAAAAGGCAAAAAAGGCTTCCTAGCGGAAGTAACACATCTGAAGAATTATTAAGTAAACACAAGTGTTTCATCCAGATTGTCCCAAACCAAGTAAAACAATAGTGCTTGTAGGCCTGTAATCGTGGGTAACGCCTATCTAGGTTCTTTCATGGGTAAAATGCAACCATCTCCTTACATATGGAACTCTAGTGCTTCTGTCAGGTGAGTGCTGGACTGCTAACAACAAGTCAGTGATTCCAGCCCACTGGCGAAATCAGGAGAGAGTTGGGGTTACTGCTCCCATCAAGATGCACAGCCTGGGAAACTAGATATGGTTGCTAGAAGTTGGAACCAACTTGATGGATGGCAGTGGCTTGCTTGGGCGGGGTGGGTGTCCTTAAATAAGCTACCCTTTTAAAGACAAATAGAATAAATTATTAAGGACAAATATAAAGCAGCAACATTAGCTTTGGCATTTATGTCAAAATATGAAATGGTGTATTATATAGGGAACTTACCTATATATTTACCTGACAAAATTTGGAGCCTATGAATCGTTATAAAACAACAGCTAGCAAACCCAAGTTGTCAAGTAGAATCCAACTCCTAGAGACCTGACAGGCAGGTAAACATACCCCCAGGGTGTCCCGCACTATACTCTCTTCTAAAGCAGACGGCCACGTTTTTCACTCATAGCAGCATAGGTGGATTTGAAGTTCCACCCCTTTAGTTCGCAGCCAAGGGTTTGTATTACTGTGCCACTGGATAATTGGCATGTGCTTCCAGTATTTTGAAATTTTTCAAAATAATAATTTTGAAAATAATGCCTGTTTTTAAGACTGGTATTTTCAAAAATGTTAGTTTCTCATAAGGCAATCAAAAGGGTTACTCTGGTAATAAAAAAAAATCATGCTGGTGATTGGCCATATGTTTGTCTGACTTAGTGTATACAGTTTTCTGTTGTAAAATCCATATGTCAATAAAAGCAGGTTTCTTCTTTCCCCGCTGAGTGGCTCCATGAGAAATGAATTAGATCACTCTGCTAAAAAGAAATTACCAAGCTCTTTCTGAAAAGAGCTCTTAGTATCTATCAGATCACGGAAGAGACCAAATGGTTTGCTATTAACTACTAACCTAAAGGTGTTGGTTTGGACCCACCCAGTGGCACCCTGGAAGAAAGGCATGACAATTGGCTCCTGCAAAAATTACAGCCAAGAAAACCCTACAGAGAAGTTCTATCTGTAGCACAGAAATTCGGATGGACTTATTGACAATGGGTTTATGCGTTTCCTTTTGGTTTTTAAAAATTATTATTGGTCTCAGAGGCAAAACACTTGAATGAGCTGCTGTCAAATCAGACCCAGGGTGTCATTTCAGATAGACACTAGGAAACAATGAGAATGAACTTCAAAGTACCATAGATACTCATGTATAAGCTGAGTTTTTCAGCACATTTTTAATGCACTTTTGTGGTAAAATTAGGTGCCTCGGCTGATAGTCGGGTCAGCTTATACTTGAGTATATAGGTAAGTTATTGAAGATTAATACTCCAATTAAATGATCTTTCCTTGCACTAGAGGCAAGACTGCATCATGTAAGTCATTCCATGAGACTACCCTCCTATTAATCTCCCCTCTGGCATGAGGGTACATGACTGCACATTGGAGAGGCATGGACCACAGACAGCTGGAACATCACGGTGATCTGAGTCACTGCATCCACCTCTACATCAGTGCTTTAGAATTAGAAAGAAAACCAGCCTTAGGCAGGCTTAAGTGTCTGTCTAATGTTTCACTCCTTCCTCTTTACCAGTAAATGCTATTATAAATAATTACCTCCACATCAGCTAAGCAGGAGCCTGGATTCCTTTGGGTTGAGGAATACTTTTATTTGTCTAAGGCTGCTATCATGCAGGCATTAAGTTTAAATCTCTGTGGTTTTACTAGTAGAAAATATTTACGCTATTATATTGAGATAGGTCAGGCTTTATTTTAATGTGTTCTTGACTCGTACTTCTTTTTCTGAGTTGATATCCTCTCCCACAACTGTTACCTTCTCTAAAGCAAAATCAAATTAAATAACTTCTAGTCAGTGAACTCATACAATATAAACTAGATGAGGCATTTTCCACTTTATACCCAAAACCAAACCTGGTACTATTGACTTAAAGCTACCTGATAGTACAAAAATAGAACTGCCCCATAGGGTTTCCAAGAGTGCAAATCTTTTGTGAAGAAAACGCCCATGGAGCAGCTGGTGGGTTTGAACTTCTGACAATTTGGTTAGCAGCCAAGAACTTGAACCAGGGCTCTTTTGCGACATTGTAAAACTTCCAAAATATTTTAAAGACACATGGAAAGTATTGTGCATCTATTATCCTGGATTTACCATTTTCATTTATAATACTGAGTAGTCATTTAGCACATGGAGGGGAAGAGGCACAAGATAAACATCAAACAAAAACTCATGTAGCAATTATAACTAAACTTAGGATTGCGTTATTAGAATGAGTTATCTGGAAGAAATTAAAATATAAGGAAGATATACAAAAGTTTTCAGTTAGATTAGGTCCCTTTTTATCTAGTTTGTCTTTTATTGCTCATGCCTTTGCTGTCATATCTAAGAAACTGTTGTTGAGAATTATACATCAAGGCATTACCTGTATGTTTTTTTCTGAGATTTTTGTGGTATCAGGTTTTAAGTTTAGCTCACTGTTTCAATTTGAGTTTGTTTTCATACACGAGCAAGATATGGGTCCAAATTCAATCCTTTATTTGTGAAAAGCCAGCTTCCACAGAGATATTTATCAGAGACTATTCCTTACCACCCCCACTTGTCTCTCCCTTTGTCAACTGCGGTGCCCTGTGTGCTGCTGTGCAGCTGGACGCTGTGTCAGTAGGATCTCAAATACCAGAAGGATCACCTGAAGTGAACAGGTGTCAGCAGAGCTTTCAGACTAAGGCAATGAAGAAGAACAATGTTGTCCACTTCCTAGGAATTAGTCCCTGGAAACAACATGGGGAGAAATGAAACATTATCAGACACTGAAAACTTCATGAAAAGTAAAAGACCTTTTTCAGAGATAGTACCAGAAGAGGAGCCTTTTAAATAGGAAGGCTGTCAAAATATGACTGAGCTACCTTCTTAAAGTAGAGCTGACATAATGATGAGAAGGTAGCAAAGCCTTCAGGTCCTTCATTTTCTGATGGGTCATAGTTCAAAATGAGAAGAATGTGTTGTAAACACCATTTAATAATCAGAACTTAGGATGTACAAATTACGGATCTACAAAGATTGCAAGATGTAAACAATGAAATGGAAAACATGAAAATCCACATTCTAGGCATTAGTGAGCTAAAATAGACTGGCATTGCCATTTTGAATCAGATATTATATGGTTTATTGTGCTGGGAATCAAATAATCAAGAGAAATTACATTGTATTCATTGTCAAAAGACATTTCAAGATTTATCCTGAAGTACAATGTTGTCTGTGATAGAGTTATATACATACAAATTCAAGGAAATCCAATCAAATATTCATTTTCATGTGGTAACTACTAAAACTAATGATGAAGAAATGAAAGAATTCTACCTACTGTTTCAGTCTGAAATGTATCAAACATGCAATCAAGATGCATTGATAATTATTGGTGACTGGAATACAAATATTTGAAACAAAGAGAAAGGAATAGTCGTTGGAAAATATGGTCTTGGTGATAGAAAATAAGTCAGAGACAACATGAAAGGATTTTGCACTAGAACGACTTCTTCATTGTAAATACCTTTTTTCAATAACACAAAAGGAGGCTTAACATATGGACTTTTTGAGATAGTATACACAGAAATCAAATGTACATTTGTGGGAAGAAACAGTGGAGAAACTAAATATCAGCATCTAAAACCAGGCCAGGGTCCGATTGTGGAACAGACCATCAATCGCTCATGTGTAAATTCAAGTTGAAGCTGAAGAAAATTAAAACAACAACACAGAGCCACTATACAACCTTGGTGGGAGGAAACTCCCATGGGAGCTGCTGAATTTTGAGAACATCTCAAGGACAGATCTGCTGCCTTGAATGCTAAGACCTGCCAGAGGTTAAGGCCAGATTCAGAAGAGGATGTGGAATAAGAGTTATCAATGATAATGTCAGATGGATCTTGGCTGAAAGCAGAGGATACCTT